AAAGATAAACAATGGTAGGATGATTGTCAGAAGGGTGATTTAGAATAATAAACACAAGTATTGAATCATACACTGAACATTGAGCTATATCCATAGCGTAAAAAACACAGTATAACTTAGTCATAGGAAGCGAAATAGATAGGATAACATTATAATATGGAGGATTTGTGGAGATAGCAGTATTTTCATAGTTTCAATCACGAAGTGATCCTAGTTAGATCACAAATGAAAACCTGGAAGTACTGGACAGCCGTTGCGTCCTATTATGGGACTCCTCAATCACATGTATCCACGATCATGCCATATAGGAATCAAATTCAGGACGTTCGATTTCACACATAAAAGCTTAACCTCCAGACCACAGAACAGAGACCTAACCAAGGGTCTCAGATTCGATTCCTGGGTGCAAGGTCGTGGATGCGCATTTTTGAGCTCCATAATAGAACGAAACGGCCGTATAATGCTTCCAGATATTCAGCGGTGGTTAAGCTGATATCACGAAGTAATCTCATCTGTGAAAAATTCTAATATATACCAAAACATTTGAGTCACTGTGACATTCACCTGTAAAATTACTAGAAATCAAAAAGTATTCGAGTTTTGAGACAAATGTCAGAAGTCTACCTGTGATGATAATGGAATCAAATGATAAGCTATTCCTACTGGTTGGTGGTCCCATTGTTGTGAATTGACTGAAAGTGTACACTAATGTACCGATCACAGTTGAGGAGACCGCAGGCACACAAAATAGGTGTGAATGGATCATGGGTAAGTAACCTATCCATCTAACCAATTTTAGACGTTAAAAGCTCGTACATGTAGTTTAGAGCGTAGTTTCAGGAGACCAGGAATAACGTTCCGTGGACTCGAATTGTTTGCCCTAGCGGTGCCAGGTGATAAAAAGACGTGAGAAGGGTTAGTCGTGGAGATAAGAGAGTTATTAGGTGTAGGAAGGATTTGAAAGTGACCAACTTGGTCTCGTGTTCTGTTACTGGTATGAGGGCTAATATCACTTCCCGGCTGCCCACACCGTGGAAGGGTATTTCTTGAGGGACCTGAAAAAGAAGTTGGATTAGTGTTGGTCTGAACGACCTGGGAGCGTGACCGCAGTGCCCAAGGGACAACTGCTTGAGGCCGGTCACACACGGCCTCTTTGTGGGGGATTTTTAACGTGTTAGCTCCGTTCTTCAAAGAACCTTACCGCCGGAGACGGAAATCCGTGGGATAAGGCGAGGTGTGCATTTTTAGGGTCGACCTTTCCTAACCCCACCCCTCCTTGTGGGAAGGCAGCATCGCTGTTATGCTGGTTGCCTGAAGGAAACACCTTACTGCCGTCACACCTCTGTACAGTCTCCCCCAAATGCCCTGGTACGGCCGAGAGTGGGGAGAGTCCGCTCTTCCTCTTGAAATGCCCATTAATGATAGAAGCGAGTCAACCCTTAGCAACGTAGAATTTGTCACCTATGTGAATTAATTCAAGTTGTCATGCCATATTAGCACAATGAGATGAAACGATCATAACATGTAGAACAGTACTAAAAGTATGAATAGTTCCCGTGGGGGTAGAACATACTTAACATGATTCGAAAAAAATGGATTCCTAGATAGTCTTAAAACTCAAGATCTAGGGAAAGATAAAGAGACAATTCATCTGTGCTATAGCAAACGATTTTGAGTCACGATGCCTAACGTTTCCAGCCACCTCTTATGATAATCCTGAGGATAGGAACCAGGTAATGTAAGCACCTATCTACATGCTTCATTCTAATTGGCAATAATCGTATGAAGTGATGTCATCTCTTGGTTTGACCGCGCCTAGCTTTCTTACACCTTACTCCTATACCATACAACATCCCTTGTCAAGGTTAACAGTGGTCGAGAACACATAGTAATACATGTCCCAACTTTTCGGTCCATGAAGATTTGTTATCTTTACCCTGTGTTTAGCCTTCACAATGTCTACACAATGGGGTCCCAAAATCAGAGAGTAATCTTTCGTGATGAAAACTAACAAACTGTTATATCCAAACGAAGAACAATGAGTAGTAACTGTTAGGATCTATGTAAGAATTATACTCTGATCAGAATCATGATGCTGTTTTACCAGATATGCGTTGTTCTCATGATTAGTGTACTTCTAACGAAGTAGTCGAACGCGTCGACAACTTCACTTATCTTGAAAGTCTGATCAGCCTTAATGGGTTGGTGTCTGGAGAAATCTCAACACGGATTCAAAAAGCTCGTTTGGCATTTGCCAACTTACGTCACCTATGGCGAAGACGAGATATCCGTCTATCCATTAAAGGACGGGTATACTAGGCAGCAGTTCGCTCTGTTCGATTTTACGGCTGTGAAACATGGCCATTAAGAGTAGAAGATACATGTAAATTACTAGTATTTGACCACAGATGCCTTAGAATTGGGAACGTCAAACTGGTCGACACAATTACCCTACATTGTTTCGTGTGAAGGGGAGATATGGTGTTATGATGCTGATCTGTCGTCTTTCTAAATAAAATGGGACTAAAAAACGACCCACAAACTTAAAGGGGAAGGTGACGTATGGTAGTAAAAGTAAAGTCTGATTGGTCGTTGTTGAGCATGGTCACAGGCCGCAGACTATCATTAAACATGTGGTTTTTCTTATTATCACTAATTTCTATTGTGTGTGACTGTTTGTAGTTGTATTGAATAAAGTATTCTCTAATGTAAATCTGCTTGTAAACCATCCGTAATATATCACAAACTATATAATCCAAACATAATTATGAACGATATATAGATACAGGGTGAAGAATTTCAGATACTATAATTAGTGTCAAGTCACATACTTCAATATAATCAATTAGCATAAGCATGTGAAAAATAATGACTTAATGAAAATCTATTTTTACTAAACGTTGACTGATCTTTTTGTATTATTACTATTACGGTGAGAACAGTTAGTTCAATAAATGTTTGGTTACATAGGCCCACGCCTCCCAAATGCCCTGGTACGGCCGAGAGTGAGGGGAGTCCGCTCTTCCTCTCCAAATGCTCTAATATAGCCACACCTATATATCCTCTGTCAGGGAAGTCGTACTCACTGCCTTCTCACAGCATTACTGTTGTTTACGAAATTGAGAGGACGAAAAGCGAATGTCCGGTGATTTAACCGGGTTGGTGGACACGGCGAGTCCACCTAGGGGAGTTGGAAAACCCTGATAACAAACCAATGGTGCACATGAGCTTGAGTATCCTGATTGAACAAATGTCATATGAATCAATCGTTGGTCATCGGCTAACATGGGACTGTATCTACTAACGATGCTCAACTGCCTTGTGGATCAGACCTTAGGTCGAAGGCTCTGGGTGTGGCCCCTTAAGAAAACCACCTTCTTCAGTTTGGGCACCTGGGCAGGATCACCGCCCTCACACAAATCAAATGAGATTTGTATGGCGCATATGTATCTGGTGCCATCTTGTACCGATATTTATGTGTTTAAATAATAAATAAATAATAATAATACTACAATGGCTGACAACATTTTTTCACACGTTAAAAAAACTTTGTTATGGTATCAGAGAATATTATAAGTCTTCAGGACATAACTAATTAACTGGATATATTTCAGTCTTATAAGAGGTTGATTACGACCTAAATAGCTCTATGGTATACATTTCAAATCAAAAATATGAATATATCGAAGATTTCGTTTTTGAATGCATTTGTTTCAATAAATCTACATTTGGTCAATAGCTTTTCAGGGAATAATGTACCATTGGTTTGGAATCAGGATTTTATAACTCCCCTAGGTGAACTTTCCGTGTCCACCAACCCAGTTAATGCACCGGATATTCGCTTTTCACCCTCTCAATTTCGTAAACAACAGTAATGCTGTGAGAAGGCAGTGAGTAGGACTTCGTCGTCAGAGGCTATATATGCGTGACTATGTGAGAGCATTTCGAAAGGGAAAGTGAACTCTCCCCACTCTCGGTCGTACCAGGGCATTTGGGGGCCATATAAACATTCGTAAAAAGGGGTACTGAATACGTAATCAACACACAACTCATTTGGTTTATGTGTGGGCAGTGATACTACCCGGGTGTCTAGACTGGAGCAGCTGGTCTCATTAGGGAACCACAACCAGAACCTTCGACCTAAAAGTCTGATCCACAAGGCAATGGAGCAATATAAGATGTAGTCATATCCTAACCGGTCACCAACAACAGGTTCATACGCCATTTGTTTCTTTAAAATCCTATAGCCCATGTCGAGTGGACCCTCGGTTAAAGCACCGGACATTCGTTTTTCGTCCACTCAATTTTGTAAAGAACATTCCTGCCAAGAGAAGGTAGTGAGTAGGACTTCTACTACTCGGGTACCCAAACGGAAGTAGGTGATTTTCTTAGGGGACCACACCTAGAGCCTTTGACCTAAATATCTGATTTACAAGGCAGTAGAGCATCGTGAAGAGATGCAGTCCCATAGTAGCCAGTCACCAACTATTTAAATTAAACTAAGTCAACATGACTGCTTAGAATTTTTTTTACCAGATCGACTATTAGGCTATACAGAAAAACTTTCTACAGAATGTGAATATATCGAAGATTTCGTTTTTGAATGCATTTGTTTCAATAAATCTACATTTGGTCAATAGCTTTTCAGGAAATAATTCACCATTGGTTTGGAATCAGTGTTTTCCAACTCCTCTAGGTGGACTTGCCGTGTCTATCAACTCGGTTAAATCGCCGGATATTCGCTTTTCGTCCACTAAATTTCATTAACAACAACCGTGCCATGAGAAAACAGTGAGTAGGACTTCCTTATCAGTGGCTATATATGCGTGATCATATGAGAGGACTTAAAGAGGGAGAGAGCGGACTTTTCGCACTTTCGGATGTACCAGGAGCCTTATAAGCTACTAATCAGAAAAATACATCCATCTAGTTTCTATCACCTATACTCTTTCAAAAATATGAATAAATGAACACACACACACACACACACATAGACTTACTCGATATAATGGTATTTCTTCAGCTAATAATGGATTTGTTTCATATTCACTCCTTGATGTATAAAATAATAATGTAAATTTTTTTAATACAACATATTTTGGTAACCATATTAATTTATTTTTTCCACGTCCTTTACTATCTATATCCACTATATCTTCTAAGATAATATTCAATAAATTAGTATTCATCCCAGAGATTGATTCTATCTGATGATTAGGATTCAGTAATGATAATATTGAATCATCTTTATTATTAGTAGTATTATCAGTAGTATTCATATTGTTAGATTGTTTCATTGATGTTATATAGTTGGAATCTTCTTTATGAGTAGTAATAGTAGTATTAGTAGTATTCCTATCAGTAGTATCATTATCAGTAGTATGTTTTATTGATGTTGATTGTATATCAATATAATAATTTAATTTTATACGTAAATTTCTTTCTAATTGTTTTTGTTGTATTAATTCTTTATATATTAATTGATATTGTTCTGTTAAATTAGTTATTAATTGATTACGTTCAGCTAAATCTTTTTTATATTGTTCTATAGTATGATGTAAATTTTGAATATTTTTAGTACTTGTTGATTGTAAATTTTTATATTTTTTTTCTAATTGTTTATATTCATTATGATTTTGATTATTTTTTAATTTAATCGATGATGATAATGAGGATAATAATGAAGATGTTGCCGATGTCGACGATCCCGACATAGATCCTAATGATGTACGTGATTTCATTTCACTATAAAATTTCTCAACTAATGTATCTAAATTACGTTGTTGTATATCTTTCTCTTTTTGTAATTGTTCTATACGTAATGTAAGTGTATTATTTGTTTGTTCTATAATAGTACAATGATTACGCATTTCATCTAATTGTTTTGATAAATCATTAATTTCATTTGTATTTCTTTCTAATAAATTATTTAATTGTAAAATCTCATTACTTGAATTATTACGTAATGTTGTTAAATTCTTATCTAGATTACGTAATCGTACACGATGTATAGCTAATTCAATATCTTTATGCACCAGTTGTTCTCGAAGTGATTCCTTCGACTTCATCATCTTCTGAAGTTCTTCTTCCGTATTCAACAATGTCTGACGTAGACTCTCTTCGGATACTTTCATCTTCTCTAATAAATCATTTGTCTCATTATATTTATTTATATTGAAATGATTTAATTCTTGTGTAGTAATTAATTGTTCTTTTAATTCATTTACTTGTTCATTTAAATTATAACGTAATTCTGTTATAAGATTCATTAAATTTTTACATTTTTCATGAATTTGTTGATTTTCATTTAATAAATTTTGATTTTCATTTTTTAAATTTGAAATTATTTCATTTTGTTGTATTATACTACTATCATTTGTATTAGTAGTACTAATATCAGTAGTTTTGTGAGTAGTATCATTATTGATAGATTTTAATTGAATTATTTCATTTGTTTTTTGTATTAAATCATGTTCTAATTGATGTATACGTAATTCTAATTGTTCTTTATCAGTTTTTAATATAGAATTATTATGATATTCATTATCAAGATTTAAATTGATAGTTTGTAAACGTATTTCCATTTCTTTTAAATTAGATTGTAAATGATCCCGTTCAAGTTGTAAACTATTTAATTGTTGATATATATTACTTAATTGTTGATCTGATTCAATTTTATTGATTTTTAATTGTTCTAATTCATTTTGTGATTCAATTAAACGTCTATTTATATCTTTTAAATTAATTTGATCTTTAGCTGTTTGACATTCTAAAATTTGATAAGATTGTTTTAATTCATTTAATGTTTGTTCGGTTAATTTTTGACGTTCCAATGATTCATTTAATAAAATTTGATGATTAGTCGTTATATCGGTAGTCGTCGTATTATTATGGTTCAAACCCCGTGAGAACATTTCCAAATAACGATGATAACGATTGAAAGTAAAACCAGCAAATGATAAATTACTACCAGTAAAATATGCAGGTGGTTGTGGTCGAGCCGGTGCGAATGCACCACCACTATGTGGTAATTTTGCACCACCACTACTACTACCATCGGAACTTAAATCTCTTTCATCAAAATTAATATTAGATGTATCTGTTTCAGAATTAACAATTGGTTGAATTGGTGCATTCTCTGAACGTAATTGTTCCCATTGTATTGATTTAAAGAATACATGAGATTTAACTTGTTGAGCAGCAGCAACAGCTCGATTATTTTTTGCTGATTTAATTTCAATTTCTGTTAATAAATCAAATGAACCTAAACGAGTTGTAGATGATCTTAATAAATCTTTAATAAATAATTCTGTTTCCGGTGAGATTGGATCCGCATCAGTTGGTAAACGTAAAGATTTTTCATGACCTAATATACGACTATAAGTTTCAACTAATGATTGTCCATAAAAAGCAGGTTCACCAAAAAACATTTCATATGCAATCACACCTAATGCCCACCAATCACAAGCAGGTCCAATTTTACCAGCTTTAGCTTGACAACTTAACATTTCAGGACTAATATAATCTGGTGTACCAATAGGTGATGTACAATAATAATAACCATCTTCACCAACACGTACACAAGAACCAAAATCAGCTAATTTTAAATGTCCACCAGCATCTAATAACATATTATCTGGTTTTAAATCACGATGAATAAAACCTAATTCATGTAATGCTTCAAGAGCTAGGACAGTTTCTGCTAGATAAAATCTTGCAATAGTTTCATCAAATGTATCATATTTTTCTAACCAATAATATAAATCACCACCAGGCATATATTCCATGCATAAGTAAACATTGTCTTTATCCTGTCAGAAAAAAATAAATAAACAAAACAAACAGTTTCTATGGTAAGAAACAAATTTCTCTTAACAAAACTATGAAAAGGATTAAGTTCATTACGACATATGAAATGGATATTCATTATTATGATTATCGACTGTTATAGTGTTCCACTTATGACTCCCAAAGAACTTTTCACAACTGTTTAATTTATCACTGAATAAGCATAAGCGTATTTTTCAGAAGGGGTTTGGTAGAGATTTTAATAATTTTATAGAGTTGAGATCATAAGTCAATTAAAGTTAGACCACCATGGAAAACCTGAAAACACTGGATGGCCGTTACGACTTATTGTGGGACTCCTCAGTAGCAGAGAGTATCCATGATCCCGCCTCGCGAGATTCGAGCCCAGGACCTACTAATCTCGAGAGTATTTCACTAAAATGTCTTTTTACCATAAAACATTGACTATTAGCCAAAAAATTTCCTCTTGTTAACGATATTATTTACTGAAATTACGCAATCGTACACATGTCTCCATCCTATAAATGCATTTTCTGCTTGATTGGACAACATCAGTTCAACTCCTTGTGTATGTAGGGCATTTTCTTCTTCATCGCTGAAGTATAACAGAAGATCCCCTGAAGAGATAGTCGTTGTTGTCCAAACTGTGTCCAATGTGCTTCATTGATCCCAAGCAACTACAGGTTGTATCTCCTCATTTCTGTATCAATTTGGAAGACTCTCTCGGTCTCCCACATTGTACGAGCATTCTATGTACCTGAATTAATGGTTGCTCTGGTCGTCAGAAGAGGCATCGGCCTCGTGACTTCCGAAGGAACTTAGCTTTCACTGTGGGGTATCGTAACTCTTCTAAATGAAGACCTGATTCACAGGGCAGAGTTTAAATGATTTGATTGAGTTTTCCTGGTTAGCGTTCGTTTAGCGAGTTAGTTTTCTAAGGGATGGGGTCGCTACCCCCATGCCCAACCCTCCAGAAGTAGCCCACGAAAAAGGCTACAGGCAGAGTTGTACTTATGTATATGTAAAGATTTAAGTTTTATCCGTTGTTAGTTATATTAAAGTTAGTATTTTGATTAGTCTCTATCGACATAACGGGGATCATAAGCGAATCATCTCGATATTGTCTTTAAGTACAAGTTTTAGTGAAATTGTATTGACGTTAGTAATGGAATTTAGGACATGTGTATCGTCCCAACTAGACGTACCAACATCCTATTCTTGATTACATTTAAAACTTGTAACTAACTAAAGACACTATCGAGACAATACACTTAAGATCTATAATTAAACAATCACCTTGAATTCTAGTATCCAACTATTTTTAAATATTTTCGTAGTTGAAATCATGAGTCAATTTAAGCTGGACTAACATGAAAAACCTGGAAGCACTGGACGGCCGTTTCATCCTATTATAGGACTTCTCAGTGGCAGTGCGAATCCACGATCCCGCCTCGTGAGATTCGAACACAGGACCTATCAGTCTCGTGCTTCCTGATTTTCCATGGTGGCCTACCTTCAATTGACTCATGATTTCAACTATGAAAATACTGGAATCTCCACAAAACCCCTACTGATCTATATTAAAAGAATACTAATAGTTATCCGTACCACATAGAATCATCAGAAAATAAATTATAAACCATTTGGATATCAAATCTAACCACAGGAGTGTTATTTAATGAATTATAAATAGTAAAATAATGTAAAACCAATTAATCATTTGACAAAACTGAAGTAGATAAAAAAAATAAGGAATGTGTTATTTAAAAACAACTGATTATCAGAATTTTTTTTCTTTTTATAATATCGAAGTGGGGGGAAGGGATGGAGAAAGAGCTATGGAACATAAAACAACTGTTCAATACATTCTTTTTTTTTGGTTTCTAATCGTTGTATTAGAGAAAAGGTAAAATAAAAATAAAACTTGCGTCCTATATATGAAAACTTGTACTTAAAGACAATGTCGGGACGAATTGCTCATGATGGCCGATATGCCGATAGAAACTAATTAAAATAGAATCTTTGATATAATTAACAAGGGAAAAACTTAAATCTTTGCATATACATAAGTATAACTTAGCCTGTAGCCTCTCCGGGGGCTACTTCTGGTCCTAAGCCGGAATAAAGGAGGAGGGTTGCGCATGGTGGAAGCGATCCCATCTCGTAGAAAACTAACTCGCTAAAGAAATGCTAACCAGAAAAAATCATTCAAATCATTTAAACTCTGCCCTGTGAGTCAGAAGGTCTTCATTTAGAAGAGTTACGACACCCCACGGTGAAAGCTAAGTTCCTTCGGAAGTCACGAGGCCGATGCCTCTTCTGACGACCAGAGCAACTATTAATTCAGGTACATAGAATGCTCGTACAATGTGGGAGACCGAGAGAGTCTTCCAAATTGATACAGAAATGAGGAGATACAACCTGTAGTTGCTTGGGATCAATGAAGCACATTGGACACAGTTTGGACAACAACGACTATCTCTTCAGGGGATCTTCTGTTATACTTCAGCGATGAAGAAGAAAATGCCCTATATACACAAGGAGTTGAACTGATGCTGTCCAATCAAGCACAAAATGCATTTATAGGATGGAGACATGTGTACGATTATGTAATTTCAGTATCATTAGAAGATGGTTGGAAAAGAGTTAGGAGTGGCCAAACCGAAACATGGCATCAGTGCTTGAAGTCATTAACTTCTAGTCTGAGCTATTTTGGTAGATGCAGATTACTTGGTTGGGGTCGGCATGACTATCGTAAACAATGGTTGGAGACTGTGTGTGACATGGCTCAGAATCGATCACAATGGAGTAGGTGTATACACTCTTTATCTTCCCTTAAACTTTGAGAATAAAATTGTTTCATAACGTTCTTCCTTCCTATACTATATCCTTATATACAACCTACCTTTTATATAATACCACTACTAAATTAACTATTTCCATGAATCCGGTGTTGATCTTGTTGTGCTAACGAGTTATGGTAACTTGGACTGATGCATATATGTGCCTGGTCCTACATTGTAGCTGACTGACTGATCATCAGAAGACAAATTATAAACTATTTAGAAATCAGATCTAACCACAAGAATGTTATTTAATGAATTAGGAAAAAAAATAGTAAAATAATGTAAAACCAATTAATCATTTGACAAAAGTGAAGTAGATAAAAAAAAACTAAGGAATGTGTTATTTAAAAACAACTGATTATCAATTTTTTTTGTTTTTTCTAGTATCGAAGTGGGGGTAGGGGGGTAGGGAGGGAGGGAGGGAGAAAGAGTTATGGAACATAAAACAACTGTTCAATACATTTTTTTTCTTAGTTTCTAATCGTTGTATTAGAGAAAAGGTTAAAAAAACAACGACAATTCCAAATAGATAGTCATCAAAAAGAAGAAGAAGAAGAAGAAGAAGAAGAAAGTGTTTTCTTCAAAACATTCACTCTGAATCTATTTCCACTTAAATAGTTTTATGATTATGATTATTATTACTACTTTTTTTGGTGCCATTTCTGGTGTAACCTTATGTTACTATCGCACCACTATTGATCAAAAGTTAAGAGTTAACTAAATATTTCTGGTAAAAAAAAAGTAATCTGAGGCACAATACAAATATCTACATGTATATAAATACGCACACACACACATACACACAGGCCATATGTGACCTTGACATTCAAATTAGTCGTGTAACTATATATATATATATATTTAAATGAAATCCATTGAATATTTAATGACAAAAAATAACCTTCAAAGTGAATGTACGGTAATTTTGATCTTTACAAGTTGAATATATTTAATGTAGATGGCTAAAGATTCATTTTAAGTAGTATTAGTAATAGTAGGATGAATGTAGTTGGGTATAGCATATGACCAATGATGTTAACATTTATTTTGTAATTTTATGTTATGAAAGAACATTATATTTAGAAAAAAAACTAGTGAAAATTAGGCAGTACTTGTTAAGTGTTTTATTCTAGTATGAGATCACTTTTAGGAATGTATATTCATAACATTGTCAGAGATCGAACCTAAGATCCTGTAAGTCTCAAAGTGGAAGTTTAACCTTTAGATTGATGAAGTAGTGAAACTTGATTAGTTGAGATAGCTAGGACACGTGTTACGTATGCACAACTACCGACTGCCCCGAGGTGAGATGTTTTATGGTGTAGGAGTAAGTTGGAAGAAAGATAGGGGTGACCAGACCAAAACGTGACACAAATCTATGAAGTCAGTTACAATTGAACTGAACCATGTTGGTAGGTGTAGACTACCTGGTTGGGATTCGCGAGATGGTAGCAATCGATGGTTAGAGACCTTGAATGACATGGTTCAAAATCGTTTGCAATGGCGAACGTGCATCCACTCTTTGTGTTCTCCCAAATTCTAACCTTTTGAATTTTTCATATCCCTATCCTTATTCTCTTTCCAAATTTCTTTCACTGCATTATACTCCTTGAATAACATCTTCAAACCCTAATCTTCTACATTAATGCTTATACTCTTACTACTTCTACCAATATGGGATTTGAATCGACAACTGTATCTCTGTGCTAATTTGGTATGGCGACTCGAAGTGATGTACATACGTATGAAGTTCTACGTTGTGACTGACTGGCTTAACCTTTAGATCCCCGAGTCGAGATCCGATGGTTTATATTTACAACTTTAGTCAACTCGTGATATTGAGCGACTATCATCTGTTACCACTGATGATATTTGTCTCACCTCCGACTCCACTAGTCAAGATTCCTTCCCAGAACTCAAAGAATTACCTCTCAAAGTTAGTCACTTTTAAGCGTCTAATGGTTTATTAGTATAGTAAGTGTTGTGTCCCGATAAGAATAATGAATTGTCACTTTGGGATCCATTTGGGGGCCAATACCATGCATATATTTCCTATCGTATAATTGTTAATTAACTAAACTATTCATATTCATGTCCCTCTTATTATGAGCCTTATTTTGACCTATGGAACTATTATCATACGATTTACCATTCTC